GATCTTGGACCTCTATATATTTCAAAGACTTCTGCATCACATGTTATGTGGGACCTCCAACTTGTGGACCAAAGACCAAAGTTGCGAGAAATTGAGAAATGATCAAAAACATGTGCGGTCCCCTTTATATCCTTTTATGCTCCCTTTATATAACTCGTCTGGCTTCTGGACACGCCACTGTGAGGCATGTCTCCAACCTCTACATTATATATATATATTATAATTATATATTATATCTATTTATATATATATTATATATATATGTTTTTGTTATTTATTTATATAATATATATATATAATCCCTGGTTACTCCTATATAAGTACCACTGGTATTTTGATGGGTTTGCTACTGGTAGACCTTCACGCCTGACTCGCGGCCCCAGAGAGACATCTATGGCCTCGGTGTGGAGACCTCGTCGGACAAGTTCACTGTACAGGGCCCCAAGGTCGCAATCCTCGTGTCCTTCGCAAGTTGCCAGTGGGGGATGGTTGGGCTTGGTTGGTCTCAAGAGATCCCCATTGATACTCCATTCTTTTCCTAGATTGTCTTTTGATGTCTTTTGTTACTCGTAGCTTCTTGTTACTAGTAGCGATGGCCTCCAGCCTACTTGCGATGGCCTCCACCTAAAAGCGTCCAAATATGGTTGCGATCTGGCGAAATCAAGAGTTCCAGTGCAAAATGGCGGAGAAATGATTAGCGCCTGGTAGAATGGTTGAGGCTGAAGACTGGGCTAGCCCCGATGTGACAGCACTCACAGTCGTTCGTCACCCTTCCTCGATTCGGCGAGGCGACCTTGATCGGCGAAACGAGCTCGACTTGGAAAGGTTACCTTGTTTCTGGACCTCCAAACTCCAATCATACTTCAACCCTATATACAAGCAGTGTCATTCAATCCACGGTCTTCAGCAATTGTCCAAACTACACAGCCCCCAAAAGTTTAGTCGAATGGCAGGACTTTCCCACCAGGTTTGATCCCCAGGCTTGGGGTTGTATCACCGAGTTCTTGTTCGTGGAGCTGCTCATTGGCCTCTCAACATGGCATGTTCCACCGGATTCCATTTTTTGTTGGACCGAAAGGGTGCTCGGCATCTCGTTTGCTGCGGACTCCATTCCATGCTTTCGTTGGTCCATGAGCCTTCACTTCAGAGAAGGGAAGACAGCGCTCAGTTCAGTGGGGACAGGTACAGGTTTCTGGAGGCCCTGCACGGCCAAATCCTCCTGCCCTCCAACTCCGCACAACTATGAATGGAACTCTTCACTCGGCAACCCCACGAAGAACTCTTCTCCAGGCTTTGAAAGCTTAAAGGTGACGTAACCGGAGCCTTGGCTATTTTCAGTGCACTAGCTGTGATTTGAAGGTGTCGTCTGAGGATACAGTATAATTAGGGGATCTGATCTGGCGATTTGCAGATTGGACACCCAACATGACTCCCATAAAAGATCTGCACTGCACTAAAATCCATGTTATGTCTTCTATTTTGAGCGCGATCAATCGCACACATATCCGATCGCTGCATGAAAGCATACAAATGCATAGAGGATCGTAAAAAATACTGAAGAGCTGGCTGAAGGGCTGCTTGTCCGTGCATCCAAACGAAGAGATGCAAAAATTGGTCGCATGTCTAGCAAACTCACTTGATCACAAGCCAGACCGGGCGGTAGGGTGAAATCCAACCCAGATTCAGATTGCATGGTTTTGTAATTAGAGGGCATCGCTACTAGGAGCAAGGGCGCCATTAGGGGTTCCTGGCATCGCTACTAGGAACAAGAAGCTATTAGGAGCAAAGGGCATCGCTACTAGGAGCAAGGACGCTATTAGAGGGCTTCCACTTTCCACGACCTCCCTTTTGGTATTGCGACATCAGGACGACCAGCTTCATCTCAGTGCCCCGGCTGTACAAGCAAATGCTCCATCTTTTTCTGGTGCTTCCCACAAGTCAGAGTCCTGGCCGAAGACACAACCAATGCACCTGGTAGGCCAAGGCGCGGCCAGGGTATGAGAACTTGACACAGAAGTCGATGTTCAACCAATTCTGCCATATTCAAGTGAAGTGCCAAAATGGAATATGATCTCCCAGGAGTGCGACTTCCCCCTTTCCGTCCCTTCCCCCCCCGTTCTCTCTCTCTCTCACTCACTCACTCACTCACTCACTCTCTCTCTCTCTCCCTGTCTCTGTCTGAGGTCCACTCATTCAGCACCATTCGGAGGGTGTGCACATCGGCGGCTGCTCCACTGCCACCTCAAAAAAAGAGGCCCTGAAAACGTAGCTGATGGGAAAGAAAGGAAGGAGAGCCTTGAGCGCAGCAAGGGGTGGCCTGGCCCAATGGGCACGCTTGACATCATACTTGACATTCTGAAACACACCCAAATAGCCTGGGTTGGAGTTGTTTGAAACACTCTGAAACGGAGGAACACCCTCATGACCGGTGAGACTAACCTGGAGCAGCCAGTCCAAAACAATGTCATGTTGTTGAGACACACCTCGCGCACTCAACCAAAGAGAGATCAGAGAGAGCCTGATCTTGGAAATCGGCCCAACGAAAAGCCACTATTCCCCCAAACCGTTGCGATCAAACCTTCTAACGCTGTCCAAATCAACCGCTGCATGGGCGTCCTCCAAGGCCCCCGGCGTGCGAGCAGGTTCACTGCTGCAGCAGGCGTACGGTGACCACCTGGGTGTCACATGCACGAGGCCTGACCAATACTTGTTGCTAGTAAGAATGCTCCTAGTAGCGATGCCAGGAGCCCCTAGTAGCGTCCTTGCTCCTAGTAGTAAGGCCAGGAGCCCCTAGTAGCTTCTTGTTACTTCTCCCAAAGAAAACCTTGACTCATTGGGGGTTGCTTCATGGCAGGGTGTCTCAAGACACAGACCTTTTGCAGCCCCTCAGACCTTTCAGATGGAAGGAAAAGCAAATCAACTCCTTGCTTTGGGGTGCAATGCGGGCAATGCCATATTTTGAGATGCACCCTCTGAGATGGTCCATGGAGCCTTCTCTTCTTGTAGAGTATGGACCAGCTGCAACTGGTGGAAGATCACGCTTTCTCACATGCAGGTCAGAGCCGACAGTGACCGCCACTGTGAAAGGTCAGAGTCCAGATCTCTCTAACAGTTCGAGTGGATGCCAAGTTCGGGTTGGCAATCCCCAAGACTTACGGTAGTTGCCATGTATTTTCAGCTCAGGCCGGATGAGACCCAGACTGCAAAGACCACCGAGAAGGCCTACAAGGCGTCCCTGCGGCCAGGGGGGAGGGTAGGCCGCACGCAGAAGGGCCCAGGCTTCTTCTAGACCCTCAGGAGGGCGGGAGCTTCCTTGAACAAGCCTGAGCCTTAATGATTTGGTTCCTACATGTTTGGTAAACTTTGGTTCCTAGCCTTTCATATTTCAGTTTGGTTCCTTGGCCATCAGGCCAAAAGGCACTAGGATGCTCTGGGTATGGGTCATGCACTCGTCACTAGTCGTGCACTAGCCATGCATTAGTCGTTCACCCGGTTCACACTGTTCACACGGCTCACACCAAAATGTGAACACGTGTCATTCGGTCAGCTTCTTCATCCCCCAAATGACACATCAGGTCCCAAAAACTTGGAACCCATTCCGTGGTGCCACACGGTCGCTTCCCACGGTGCCCACAGTGCCCCCCACATCAAACCACATTTGACCGTGAACAAGGGTGCGGTCGTCATGAAGCCATCAGGGATGGCATAACACAACTAGTGGACATGGATCGCAGTTTCAACTTTTAGTAGCGTCCTCTTGCTCCTAGTAGTAAGGCCAGGAGCTACTAGTAGCGCCCTTGCTACTAATAGCGATGCCCTTGCTCCTAGTAGCGATGCCCTTTGCTACTAGTAACTTCTTGCTCCTAATGCATCCTAGATCAGCGTAAACTCCATATTGGGAATTGACTGCCTCTCCAGAACCCATTTGGTTCTATTCAACATTCCCAGGCCGGGATGCTTGGGATGTATGCTTTGGAGATCATGCTCTGGGCAGTGTGAAGACTAGAGCAGCAGCATGTTCACAAGGTATTCTTCGGAGGTATGCTTCGCGTAAGTCGAACATCCCACCGTTACATAAATCTCGGCAAACCCCCTACCGAAGTATGTTGGGAAAGACCCTAGATGGACCGTTCTTGTCGCTGTGCAAATCATAAATCAATCAATATTCGACGGCTGCTTTACAAGCTCCTGCGCCGATGCATGCGCGGAAGATAGCTTCCTGGCAGGTAGGGGCAGTTTCGGTTCACGCTCCCTTAATCAAAAGATGTAAGCAAGAATGCCCAGGAAGAATGAGCTGACGTGAATGCGTGAAGTAGAGGATCTTCCCAGCCATCTGACTTCCACACTCCCTTCTCGATGTTAAAACATCTTCATTGAAAACTAAGCAATTCTGAACAAACAAGCTCGTGAAAGCCTATCCGCGCAGCGCCAGCGCTTCCAGGATGTCTTAGACATCTCAGCGGACGTTGCAATCGTCCCACCATGCACCACCTGGGAGCGGAGCATCGGCATTCCCGACCACCTGACCAGTCGAATAACCAGGACACATCGACCTAATATGGTCTTATATGGATGACCCTCATATCCAACTAGATGGCTAGAACAAGAAATAGCTCCAGTTTGATGGAGACTGGGTCACTAGAACATGGGTCAAAGAGACAGGAGTTCCGTCAGAGTTTGATGCGCAGCTTGCTGGGCATGTTGAGTCAATATCTGCCAAGCTGCCCCATGCTCTCTGAAGCTCAAAGGTACTGTCATAGTCGAAGAGAGAGCACTTCAATAGCTAGTGAGAGCCACAATGGCGACAGCACCAGCAAGTCCCATCAGTCACGCTTCCCATGGCCAAGTCCAGGTGGCGATTGCTGGATTGATTCGGATGCCCGTTGAGACTTAAGTGAGGCAGGTGACGTAGTACTCTAGGAATGCCCGATTTGCGGATCACATCTTCCGAAGATGAGATTCGACCGGTCAGTCTCCCACCCAGGCACTTGGTTCCAAGCACGGCATTCTTCCAAAGGTCTAACTGGCCGAGAGCTCACCAAAAAATAGCGAAGGAGACTATCAACGATAGATTCAGTAGGCCAGTAGGCTAACACAATGACACAAAACTAAAACTACTTACTTACTTACTTGCTTACTTACTGCCTTGCTTGCTTGCTTGCTTGCTTCCTTGCTTGTTTGCTTCCTTCCTTCCTTCCTTACTCACTTACTTACTTACATACTTGCTTACTTACTTACTTACTTACTCCTTCCTACACAAAAGTTGAAAGAATTCTCTCTTACCCAGGTGTCTGTTGGGGAGAATCGCAAAATCAATATTGCCTGTGCCCACTTGCAGTGCATAGACATGGTTGTGGCCTCTAAAGAAAACACTCCCAGCCATGAAAACACGCAACTGAAATCCCTCTTTTTATTCTTCAGAAACTCACCCGCCCTGACCTCACCCGCCATGCCCTCAGTGTCGTTGCGAATGCCGGAACCCTCGGCTGGTGAAGCGCATGCCGGTCGGATTCGGTGCCTGCCAAGTCCTCAGCAAATCCAAGGGATAAGAAGAGACCAGAACCAAAAAGGAAAAGAAACCTTTTATATAAATATTGTGGGTTCTCTCTTTCCTGTTTTTCTCCGCTTCAAGGCAGAACCCCAGGGATTCGCCAGCACTTGGAAGATTCCTGTTGATGAACCTCCGAGATCAAAAACACCAAGTAGCCTTCGCATCGGATTTAAAAGGAGTCGGCCATCTCCAAGGCTTATCAGCTTTGTCTTTTTTTCGTCCAACTTAGCCCACCACCCAGCTGCTGCCAGCTCCTTCCCCAGATCCTGTCGCCGACTCGCTGGGTCTGTGCACACCGTTTGACTCAGTTCACCAACCATTCAGCCTGCTTGCTCATGCCATTGGCACAGCTTGAAGCCAGCTGGAAGGAAGCATCATCGCTCCTTGGTGCACATCGATGAGGACACTGGAAAAATGAAAAGGCCTTTGCGGAAGATCGCTGTACATCAAACTAGGTAACTAGGAGTCTTGGGTGGATATGGATTTCTTGGAAGATGTGTTGTTACCCTATCCAAGGTAACACAAATACGCAGTCTTTGATTTCGCCATACCTTCGAGCCCTCCAACTGCAGCAATGTAGAATGGATATGTGGAACTGTGGAACGGGAGTCCTTTCTCCCCAGGACTCGGTCTACATGTCGAATCTCATGGCACCTTGAGCAGGTCAATGTTCATGTGGTTTACCTGCCGGCTATTACATGTGCACCTTTGCCAGCTATTCTTGGAAGTACTTGTCATCAACTTCCAAGGAAGGGGTGACCAGCTGCCATGGCTGTGCTGCTTCGCTGTTCTCTGACCCTCGCGGCAAAGCATTCTAGGAAGGACCATAGGACACAATGATCCGACGGAACCAAGGGCCTGGACACTCAGCTGCTGTTGAAAGAATCCTACACCACCAAATCAAACACACTGCAACTCTCCATAAATCGATGTAAAGCATCAGCAACTATCCGTTCTCGTCTCAGCCTATGATTTTGGCGGGATGAAAGGATTTCGGTCTCTGACTGCCGCAGCTCTGGTGTTTTCGCGGCGCCTTTTCGGCCCTGGTGAGGTCCCGGCACAGCTGGCGCGACCTACAAAGCGATTTCAGGCCAGTTCTATCCAGTTCCCATCTGGCAGTTCTCACTGAAGGAACCCATTTGGTCATTTGGGTGTGCAAAACAATAGGGAGACCTCCCAACCAATGGGTTTTGGTCAGGTCTTTGGGAGGTCTCCCCAATTCAATAGACACCATACACACCCATTTGTATCCCGGTTGTCATCCAAAACATAGATTTAGGAGCTTGACAAAGGCAAAAAGGCTGATGCCAAAATCAAAGGAAATTGAGATTCTGAATGAGAGCAACTTGGTGAGGCTTCGAGCTTCGAGATCCCAAACATCAGAATTGTGCCTCGCTCATAGTATACATATATTGTAACACAAAAGCATATGATGTGCAAGTCGATCCATTCCTGCAACCCAGATTGGCCTCGCTTGGCACCAGCTCCATCCGTGACCTTTGAGCAACCACAAATGGGGACACTCTCACGGTTCAAAAGGCCACACGTATGGTTCACAAGCAAGAAGCCGGCTTGGGTGCGTATCAAGATGGGGAGACCCCCAATGAATGAGTTTCAATCCGTCTTGCCTTTTACCAGAGGTGGCACGCCCACTTTCGGTTGTGTACTGCACCTTCTACCTTATCCTGCAATCGGGCAAGCCGAACCTCGTGCGCGGCGGCATCAGGTTCTAGCGGCCCTGATCCTACTTCCTCCCAGCTGTCACACGAGCCACAGAAACTGTCCTGACCTCTGCAATGACAAGTTGGGAATCAAAGAAAACCATGTGGAAACATCGGACTGCAATGTCAGCCATGCTTTCCACCCTCGATCATCGAACAACTCGCTGCAGTTACAGTATGTGTTTCTTGCGTCCTCTCCACGCAAGTCAGAGGACACCCGGCAGGTTGTTCAACGAGACAAGACGGAGAAGACCAGGTGCAAAGCACCTGGTCTGTGGTGTCTTGGAAGAGGAACCGAAAACCGCAGGAAGTTGGTCAGGAACCTGCTTGGCATGACAGGACGAAGGGATCCCGAGTTTCATCAACACGGAACTATGAAACGATGCACAGACGTTCTTCCGCACCAGAAGAACCCTGGCCCGAAAGCTTGCAATTCTGGTACCTCGTGTAGGACTGGCTCAAGTTCCCACACAAACGTCTGAGAGGATGGCGATGGAACAAGTTATATAATCTGATCGTTTGGGCTTTCTTCAGTGGTAAGACTGGTTATCCCTTTTTGGTACTTATTTGAGCAAAACGAAAAGGTGCAGGTCTTCCTACTGCAAGAACATGTCTTTTTTAACATATGTATGTATATATGTATATGTTGCTGTCTTTACAACTTCACAATTTGCATAAATTTTACAAATTGTGTTTATTCCCTTTCCTTGACAAGAGAGGGTGAACGTAATGGTGTTCCATGCAAGTGGGCAAAAGCACTACAGTGGAGCCCGCATGATTTTTCTGTGGCGCCCGCTGACTCCAAAGATACATCTCTCTGTTGCAAACGAGGAAGGAGTCAATGCGAATTGCATCCATTGTGCATGATGCGCTAATTCAAGATTCCGTCGGAGTTCACCATGGCAGGCAGCTCCTCAGGCTCGGCTGCATGGATGGCACTCCCGCTGAACTGTCCAAGCTCACTGCGAATTTAGCCAAGCTCATCTCGCAAGACAATGTCCATCTGACCCCGCCATGGTGAGAAAGAACGAACAGCCCGCCCAGACATGCTTTCATGGTTTCTGGGGGAGTTGCTGTTTGTGGAGTTGGCCCAAAAGTTAAAGGCCTATGAAATGAGACGAGGCAGGGTTATTGTGAGGATCAGCTTGGAGTCGGCTCCTGGGCCGTAGCAGCCTGAGATCGCTCCGAACAAGACTTGTATGTCAATAAGCAACCAAATTTTCCTCTAACACGAATTGCACATGAATGTATTATTTTATCTTTGTGGAGGCTCCAATTCTGGTTTGTCTTGCGTAACAATTCTCTGTGCATGTGCTGGCGATCACAGAATAGCCAGTGCAGCGATTCAGGGGGAGCGGGAAGTGCCAAACTGAATTCTGCCCACAGGCAGCTTGCAAACAGAGCAAGTCGGAAGCTCTCTTGAATTTGCAGCTGTGCAGGTGGCAACAACCCAGGGTCCGCTAAGGTCAAAGTGGGACAAGGCCCCTGGTGAGGCGGCCATCCCTTTGAGAGCTTGGGGGAATCAAAACCCGGTCAGCTCAAGCTGCATGTGCAGACCCCAGTACTTCCTGGAGAGCGAGCATTGCTGCAGCTGCGACCTGGACGTACAGGCATGCTAAGCTGCGTGGCTCGCGAAAGAATGTCATACAGAACGCAAACATCTTGTTAGTTGTGTACACCAGGCTCCTACCTGCTCACATCTTTTAAGAACAAAAAGGTGGAAGAAAGAATCTTGCATTTAGAGATCTATATAGAACCTCCAAGTTCAATAGAATCAAGAACCTGCTGTCATTCCAAACCCGGGAGCGTGGATATCATCCCAGTGGAAAACCGTGAGTCGGATCCGACGTCGGATCCCCAACTCAGTGAGTCGCACCTCGCCAGCATCCTCCAGTCCGGCCGCCGCTGCGGCGGCCGCCGCTGCTCCGAGCGCCGCGGCGCAGGCGGCATAGCCCACAGTGAGGCGGTAGCAGGCCACACCCCGGAGCGCACCTGTCTGGGACCACCTCCCCACAAAACGCATGGCAACCAGTGGTTTGTTGTCTGAAGTTGCAGGAACGGAGGAGCATCTCCTTTCCGGTCAAATCCGCTGCCACAAGGTGCTTCCTGGGTTCTCTCCCGAAAGGCATCGCAGCCCATGGTTCAATGCCTGGCACCTAAGATCAACATCGCACCAGTATTCAATCACTCCCATGTAGCTTTGCGGGTTGGATAACCTTGTATCAACACACAAGGTCCAAGTATGTTCGGCGAAGATTTATCCTATTTGGATTTAAAAATTCAGCCGCATCCACAATCCCTACGAAAAGACGGTGTCTGCATGGCTTTGATCATCACTGGAAGGGACATCAGCAGCGATTTCCGCAAAGGGGCATAACAAAGAATGCACAAAGGAAAGATCTTGCCATTTGCTTGGTTGGTGCTTTGATGTTCTTCTGATCCTGCCAAGTGCAGGTTCACTTCTTGGAGGGTCTATTTGATACCAAATCTCTCACCACTCAAAACATCAGCTCCAGCGGCTGGGCTATGCCTGCAGCTGAGGCATTGCAGACACGTTGATTGCCGAACGTGCCAGCTGCTCTCCGGGCAACCTGGGAGATGTCGAACCAGCTGTTGTCGCATTTGAAACATGAGGCACTGATTGATTGTATGCGTTTGGTGGGAAATGCTACGTAGTCTGCACCTGTATCACACCTCTGTAAGGTATATAGTTGTATGAATATTAATGAGAATGAGGGACTCCGTGATTGAAATTCGCATGACATTCTCATGTTATGCTCCACAAGATTACTGCAGGTTCTTTGCGCCAATGTGGATGCCCTAGGTTCTGGTTGTAGGATTGTTGATAACCCTCTCAAGCTAGTCTGCATGGAGTTGACCGACTATTGGAAGCTCGAGTCCTCTAAGCCGCCAAAAGCGGCGCGTAAATGAAATCCCTAAAGACCCACATCCTTCCATTGTTCCGCAGGCTCTTGAGCCGATGAGACACCCACCCATCACTTGAAGAATACCCTTTTCAGCCTTGGCAATGCTCTTCTTCTCAGACCGCTGGAGATTTACCTGAAGAGCGAAAAGCAGCAAATCCGGATGAGCGACTTATCATGCTGCCCAGGAGGCAGCAGGTCATACCCTATTGACCAAACCCCAGCCCTCTTCAGTGTCGTCAAGCACCACACGAGGCCCAATCAAGCCATTGATGTTATCCATTCCCAGGATGCTCCAAAGCCAAAGGCTTTCAAGTGCCAACACCAGGGGCCTCTACCAACTCCGTCCGAGCTCGCTGGCGAGCAGCAAATGGCTGATCTGCCTGCGGAAACAACTGGATCCAGGGGCATTATGCATGATGCAGCTCTGAAAGGGTTCCAAAGTCGTACAAGTCCCAAGTCAATGAGGTGCTACTGAGTACAGACAGTCGGCATTCCTGTTCGTCTGTCCGTCTCTTTCTCTACCTATCGACTATGTTTAGGTCTACTATATGCCCACTTAGATAAAACTCTATGTAGTTACAAACCTACCTATGTGGACAAGAATATTGTAATTTCTTTGACCTCGAAAATATTCAAAGGCATAGCCTGTTTGGCTCCAAACGTTCGTTGAACAGCAACCGCTATCGTCCTTTCGACCACAGGCACTCCCCTCTCGTCGGTTCCCTCTCACCTGCCGGTTCACTCCACGCCCGCGAGCCTGTCCACAAACAACTGCAAAGCGGACTTTAAGAAAGTTCAACTCCCCTGCGATTCCGCTACAAACACCCCGTACTGCAAAAATTTAGAAACAGGATGAAACAGGTCATTTTGATCCTAGTACTCTTGTCCCTCTGCGGATATGAACCATCACAAGTCCGGAGAAGAGTTACGGAGTGAACCACGGATTCGGGCCGATCGGTTCTGACCGGACATGACGACGTGGGCATACGCAACCGTGGCTTCTTGCTCCTAGTAGCGATGCCCTTTTGCTACTAGTAGCTATTTGCTACTTGTAGTAAGGCCAGGAGCCCCTAGTAGCGTCCTTGCTCCTAGTAGCAAAGCAAAAGACTGACTTGCTTGGGAAAAACTGCTTTTCAGTGCGAAAAGATATCCTCAGAGAAAGTGCTTCTGAGAACTTGGTCTGCCTTTGGTCTGAGTGAGGACACCATGGCAACACGATGATGAGCACTTTGCTCTAGTGAGTGATGAGCGAAATTCACAACTCCAAAGCTTGAGCGTGGTGCTGTGCAACATTGGGCTGGCAGAATCAGTCGAAAGGATTGAAAGGCTGAACTGAACTTCATGTAGATCCAATGACCTGTTTGTCGATCTTTTATGTCTCTCCTTCTGCTGCCAGAGCACAAGTTTCACAAATGAGGCAAACCCTTGAATCTGGCAAAACTATGCAAGCCTTCTCATGTCCATTGGAAATTAATCATTGGTATCTCAGCAGAGTCCTTTCGCTCCACCTTTTCCAGTGCTCTTCGAAGCTGCATCTGAAAGGAGTTGAGAAAGGAATAACACATGAACTACCCAACAAATATGCAATCAAACCAAGGACAAAGCCCAAACGAGCATCAAGAACGAAGCCTATGAGAAGGCATGGACATACAATCTCACTCTGCACTCTGAAGCAGGTAGTAACAAGGGCATCGCTATAGTAGCAAGGCCAGGAGCTACTAGTAGCATCTTGCTCCTAGTAGCGATGCCCTTTGCTACTAGTAGCTATTTGCTACTAGTAGTAAGGCTAGGAGCCCCTAGTAGCGTCCTTGCTCCTAGTAGCGAAGCAGAGTAGCTGCACCCCTCAAGACTGACTTCACCATCTCATCGCCTTCAGCCGTCGGAGTTTGATCACGGGACACGGTTTCCAGACTAGGTGTGTATCCCCAAACCGCTTCATATTGAAGATGCGTTGTGGGGTATGTTCATTTAGGTCGCTTCAACCTTTGCACATGTTGCTCTTTTGGCATCCTGGATTCTCTTTGTCAAGACCAGTGCTTCCCAAGAGAACGAAACTTGCCAAGCGAGCGGCTGGGTTCTAATCCGTGTATCAAGTACTCTCGAAAGAAAATAGATGTGCTGACGTTCCGACAAAAAAACAAAAATTCGATTAATCAGTGGTTCGATAGATGGATTCATGGAGACTGAGATGCAAGCATCAACAAAAAATTCGACAAACAAATGATATGCGTCTACATATTGTGTAATATACAGAAATGTCAACTGTTCCAATGTGTCTCTCAATATTTTGATTCGCAATCCTGTCGCACAGCCATCTGGCCTGAAGGCACAGCATCTTCTTTATTGTGGAAGAAGACCTCAAGGCAGTCACAGGTGGCACAAAACCTGGGTTTCAGCACTATGAGTGTGAACTGGAAAGGCCTCTTTGAACTTGCAAGAAAGAAATCCGAGAGAAATTGGCAGCCTCAGATTTTTTGTGCTTCATCCTCTTATGATTGCTACTACTCTGATTCTTGGGTTGTTTGACTTCCGCGGCCAAGTGTGGGTTTTTCAAAAGACTTGTTGTTTCTTCTTTTGAAAAGTGCAGAGTCACCTGCTCATGACGCGGAGCAAGGCAAATCTTGTGACAAACCAGGGACATTTGAGACAGGTAGCTTGATGTGCTTTAAACTGACAGTCATGGGTCCCTTGTGAATGATCTTCCACATCCAACAGTCCAAGTTGTTGAAAACTCAGCCAGGAACCTGGTAGTAGACAAAGCCGGCCAAGGGCGAGTGGTAGGGGCCATGTTTGACACTTGGCCTGGGAATCCAGTCCCGCCCTTTCAAAGCTTCCCGTCAACAAGGGCTTTGGATGACAAGTCTTGCTCTCTTGCAGTTTGGATCGCCACTTTTTTGCAGTTCATGCGCTACTCACATTGGATATGTTTATT